CCACTCCCCGGCAGGAAGCTGGACGCCGATGCTGTGCACACACTGGAGACGGACTGGACGGAGGCAGAGGTGCAGCAGGCGTTTAAAGCTCTCTCAAATGGGAAATCTCCTGGGAAGGACGGTCTCTCGAAAGAGCTCTTTGTAAGGAATTGGGACGTCCTCGGTGGTGAATTCTTGCGAATGGCGCATACTTTCTCCGAGAATGCGTCGCTCCCTGCAAGCATCAAGGAAGCTGTCACTATTTTCCTCCATAAAAAAGGCGATAAGGATGATCTGGACAATTACCGTCCGATCACACTCCTTAACTTCTCTTACAAGGTACTGGCGCGGGTGGTGGCGAACCGGATGAAGCCGCTCCTACACAAGGTGATCTCGGCGGAGCAGTACGGGTTCATACTAGGGAGGAGAATTTCGGATGCCATTGGAGTGGTGGCGGACGTCATAGAAGCGGCGAAGAAAGGGAGTGAGGACTGGTACATGCTGTTGTTGGACTTTCGCAAGGCCTTCGACTCGGTCTCGCGAAGTTTCCTCTTCTCGGTTCTTAGGGAGATGGGCTTCCCGAGCAGATTCGTCGGCTGGGTCGAGGGCCTGCACAAGGACACAACAACAAGGCTACTGATTAATGGCTGGCTGGGAGAAGCGGTGGCAGTCAACTCGGGGGTGAGGCAAGGGTGTCCGCTCGCCCCTTACCTTTTCCTCTGCGCGGTGGAACCCCTGGCTCAGAAAGCTATGCGGCGGAAACTGGGGCTCTGCAATAAGGCCAATCAACGATTAGTATATGTCGGATACGCTGATGACACAACCTTATTTCTAGAGGGGAAGAGGCAAATTGCTAAAGCGGAGAAGCTCCTGGAGTATTTCGCTGGCTTGTCGGGGCTGAAGACGAACAAAGACAAGTCGGTCATCCTGCCGATTGGTCACAATCTGGGGAGAAGGCCTGGTACGCTTGGCGGTTTCAAATGGGCCATGGCGGATGAAGTAGAGCGGGTTCTGGGCGTCTGGGTCACTCCCTCCGGCAGCAGCGGCCCGACCTGGAAGAGGGCTTTCGAAAAAAATATAGTGGAGCTGATTAAATGGAAGGCCCTTTTTCTCACGATTGCGGCGAGGGTGGTGATAATCAATTGTTACATTACTCCACGGATAGCATATCAGGCGTAAGTGTACCCGCCTCCAGAGGACATTTGGAAGCAGTTGTTGAAGCTGATCCACAATTTCCTGACAGGGAACAACGCATCGGCGGAAAAGGGCTTCGTGCTCTGGAACTGGGGTCTTCTTACCTCGCCTAAAGCTGATGGCGGTTTGGGAGTGTTGGACCCAGAGATTCTACTTGCCTGTCTGGCTGCGCGGAGGATCGGGGGGCTATTGCTGGAGCAGAATGGTAAGAAAAAAGAGATCATGCTTAAGGCGGCGAATCTCCCACTCGGTGAGGACACTTTCCTGGCCCACGAGAGGCTGCTGAAGCACTGGCCAGGGGACGGTGAGCGCTGGAGGCAGGTGTGCGAAGCTTTTATAAAGTCGCCAATCGCTGATACCGGGAAATCGGACAGCAAAGAAGAGGTCGCTCAGGAAAGGATCGTTTTCAACCGGAAGCTGCTCCTGAACGGAACGAACCCTATTGGGGGACAGAAGGAGGCGAAGGGGCTTTGGGAGGCGCGGCTGGGGGATCTGGTATCCACCTCTCAAGCTGGAGTAGCGGAGATTAAGGACGTTGAGACCTTGGAGAAAGAGCTGAGGAGCAGAGATTCGGCTCGGCTGGCTCTCAAGGCTTTTGCTGCAGCCTCGTCGGAGTGGAAAACCCTACTGGTCCCTGGCACGATGCAGGAACGAGATGGGGGAGAGGAACAAGTGTTCGGAGGGGGTGAACATGCAGCGGCGTCGGTCTTCCGTTCGGCGGTTTTTACAAACGGGCAGCTGGCTCCGCTTAAAGCTCAAGGCCCAAATTGCAGAGCGCGCGGGGCAAGCTTACTAAAGTTGATGAGAGTGGTGTTTTGAGTGTTGTTTGGCTGCGAATTGTGATTACGTGAAGTGCGATTCAATTTGATTGGCCAACCGTTTTTTTGTCGAATAGGAGAGAAGGAAACACCAAGAATATTGTGAGTGCAATTTGGGACTCGAGAACCAAATCGAGTTGCTCCCAGGGGTTTGCTTAGTCAGCGAAAACCCTAAGGGTGTAGCGAGAAGCTGGGCGAAACTGAACAGCCCAACTTCAACAAGGTCAACCTTCCTCTCCCGCCACCCAAAGGGCAACCTTAGTAAGGTTGAACAATTTGGGCCTTGAGCTTTAAGCAGCTGCGTGGGTCGTGGTCCAAGCCTGATGCTGTCCGGACTAAGCAGGAGAAGTGGACTGGAAAGTGGAGTGGCAAGATTGATTGGGGACGCATCATCTGCACCCGCAATTCTCTAGCCATCCCGAGCCATCCACGTGACGTTCTCACGCGTGTGCACAACCTAAACCTTCAGGTTGGGGAGAGGGTGGATTTTCTCAGCAGCAAGCCTTCGTGCCCTTACTGCGGAGCCACAGAGTCCCAGGAGCACTGTCTTTTCAGCTGCCCGCGGATTCAACCTGTGGTTTGTGGCCTCATGCGAGCTTTGCGCATGCTCAATCCTGGGCGGGCGCCTGCCTCGTTGGGTGACCTCCTGTTCCAGGAATCTGACACTGAGTCAGACTTCCCATAAGCCACGTTAACTGCCATTACCTTCCATCAGCTGTGGGTGGAGCGATGCGAAGCCAGTTTTCGGGGGCAGAAATTCAGGGCCCGGCGGGTGCTCAGGAGGATTGGTACGGCTTTCCGACTGCATGCAAGGGTGTACACGAGGGCAATGGGGGCCAAGTGCTTGAGGCCGGGCACGTCGGGGGCGCATAAGAGGGTCAGAGGGGTGTTTGAGGCTGAACAAAAAATGCTGATGAGGATCAGGGAGGTTGGCGACAAGAAATGGAAGTGGTCGGTCAGTTTTGATGCAATTTGGAACAAGCCAAGGAGGGTTTTTTATCCGCCCTAGTCACCTCGTTGGGCAGTGCATGGTGCAGGCCCTCACGCTCAGTTACGACTGCTTTTGTTGTATGCATTCTCTTCATTAATGTATACTACAATTTCAAAAAAAAAAATCTGTAACGCGTCAAGGTTCAAAACGGTGCAATTTTAAAACCGCTGTGCACCGCCTGATATCGTTTCAAACCACGACGAATGAACTGTATAGTACCTGTAAACGTACGCGCTGGACCCGCCCTTAATCAAAGTTAGGGCTGACGTGGCGCCAGTATATCGTCACGCTCCGCTGTCCTATCAGGCTCAAGCAAGTGCACTCGCGGGGCACTTGACGACGACTTGCGTGCCCAGCGACGGCACGATCAAACCACGAGAAATGCATTTCGCACACGGCGCGAGCCTCGTGTACAAAGCCGAACCTCCTCATCCCAGCCAAGCCTTGATTTCCTAAACCCTGAATCTCCAAACCACGACTTCTGGTCTGTACTAGCCATTCTGCAGTTCCGGTTAGGGCAAATATGCTTTGGATTTTGAGGTTTGCTGGAGCCAACCAAAGCCAAGGGTCCAGCTGTTTTCCGTACCGCAAGTCAACGTGGGCATCTGGCTGGTTCGGCAACATTCGAAGCACGTTGGCTTCTTGTACCCGGTTTACGCGACTTCGGTTGCCGTCAGTGGTCAACCTAGTTCCCTCGTACCCCCCTTGGCGCCACCCACCCCCGCCCCCTCATCCCTCTCCAGCTATCATCCATCCTCCTCCCCACCTCCCACCCACCTTTGGAATAACGCGCTTTGCGCTCAATTACGGCGCGGTATACCCAAGGGCGACAGCCAATACTGACGGGCCCAGCAGTAGGTTAGACTTTTGCTAGTTATTCACCCCCCTGCTTCTGAGCCAGGTAGCGACGTAACGAGGGCTTATTTTAGGCGCGTAAATCAACTGCTTCGCGAAGACGATACCTTGACGAATGGTGACGCTAACTACGAACAAATGCGACGGTTTTATTCTGCTATTTCAGCTGCAAGCCATAGTCGCCTTCTGACGGGTGCTCCGTGCGCAGTCTAGGCTCCGCATATCTTTCATAAAATTAGCACATTCCTCAATTGAGAGGGTTGACATTTTTTCGCTACTCGCAACGCTCACAACCGTACGCTATATTGAGCGTAGTCCAAGGGAAAACGCGAATTAGCTCGAAACAGTGTCGCGCGAGAGAAACCGGCATGCTTCAGGCCGGCGTCTGTCAGACCGCTAGTAGAATCTGGCCGAGGATCAGATACGGTTTTTCCTCAACCAATCAGCAGCGCTGGGTAGACTCGTGACGCCGCGACTTCGGCGCCGTATGCCCCGGGAATGGCGGAAGAGCTTGCAGAGGACGAGGAGAACGACGGGGATAAAAACGGAATACGACAAAATGAGATTAGGAAGCGCGTCATTAATAGTGACGGATTACGTTGACAGGTTCTGCTGGGTGATGCACTAACGACTACTCACGGAATACGTTTAGGCTCTTAATCCCAATAACGCGGATACATTTTGCGACCAGGCCTTACTAGCTTTTATAACGAGACTGCGTCTCTCGCGACTGCGGTGGAGAAGGGGCTGGCGATAAGAAGCTGAGCTCTTGTGCGACTAGAAGGACCGGCAGCGAGCGATCGCACAGGGGGACAGGCTGCAGTGATCGCACAGGGTCGCACAGGGAGTAGAGCAACGAGAGCGAAAGAGGGTTGCGAAAGTAAGACGACGAGGCTGAGAGCCGGGAACAACGAAAGAGGGTCGCGAAAGTTGAACTTGTGTTGCGAATCGCGCAGCGCGGCTCGACGAGAGGAAGGGTTGGGAGGGAAGGCAGAGGGACTAGGGCGCAGCGGTGGGAGCAAGGGAGGGCATAGCGAACGTAGCCGACTGTTAGTGCAGGAGCAACAGCAGCAGGAGCAGCAGCAGCAGCAGCAGCAGCAGCAGCAGCAGCAGCAGCAGCAGGAGAAAGTAGTGCTTACAGCAGCATTAGCGGCAGCGGCAGTATGAGTTGCTGGGCGCCGTTGGCGCGGCTGGGGGCGTGCGCGCCGAGCAACGGCATCGTGGCGTGTCTGAACGCGTGCGACGGCCCCACCATCGACTGCTACGACACCTGCTACACCGACTCCGGCTGGCTCCCACCGCTCTCCACCGCTGAGCTCATCGCGTTCCCCATCTCCGCTTGCTGCCTGCTGGCCATGTCGCTTGTTATCTCCTGCATGATGTCGTCTACTCTCGGACTCGATATGGCCACGTTGCAGGTAACCCCCGCTACTGGTAACCAGACCCCCCCCCCCCTCCCCCCGCCCCCGACCCCCAGTTCCCCCTACCCCCCCACTCACCTTCCTCTCCGCGTGCTGCCTGCCTGCTGGGCATGTCGCTCGTGATCTCCTGGATGATGTCTTCTACCCTTGGGCTTGACATGGCGACTCTGCAGGTAACCCCCGCTGCTGATATCCAGTACTGTTCCACGGTACTGTCCCCCGTTTCCCCCCCGTCTCCCCCATTTCCCCCCTTCTCCCCCATTTCCCCTTTTCTCCCCCCCTCCCCCCCCACCCTTCCGCCTCTCCGCGTGCTGCCTGCTGGGCATGTCTCTGGTTATCTCCTGCATAATGTCGTGTACTCTGGGCCTTGACATACGCTGCAGGTAACACCAGTGCTGCTGGTAACCAGTGCTGTTACACAGTACTGCCCCTCTCCCTGCCATCCCACTCTCCTGCATGATGTCGTCCACGCTCGGACTCTCCAGACAACACCGCGCTTTCCTCCCCCTTCCCTTTTCCCAACACCCTCCCCACCTCCTTCAGCTTACGTCCCACCTCCCCCATCCCCCTCTCGAGCAGACTTTTTTTTAATTACTGAGGCGCCTCAAAACCAACTTTGTTTTTTCTGAGGCGCCTCATAGCCAAGTTTCCTATTTTTAAGTCGTCTAAAAAATATACCTTCCACCTCCTCCACTCCCCCTCTCGAGCAGACGGGCATGCGTGGCGCTATTGAGGCACCTTATATCTAAATTTACTCCTCAACCCCCCCCCCCTCCCGCTTCCCCAACTTCCCCCACTCCCTTCCCCGTCCACTTTCCCCAACTCCGCCCCACTCTCCCCACCCCCGCCCCTCTCTCCCCACCCCCGCCTCGAGCAGGCAGCAATGGATGGCGTGGACGAGAGGCTTGGGGTGACTGCTGAGTCGACTCAAAAGACACTCCCCACCCACCTCACTCCCCTCTCCCCGCCCCCCATCCACCTCCCCCCACCTCCCCCCACCCACCTCAACCAACCCCCCCCCTTTCCTCTGGAGCAGGCGGCAATGGATGGCGTGGACGAGCGGCTGAGGACGCGGCTGAGTCGACTCAAAAGGAACAAACCCACCCACCTCCCACCCTCCTCCCCCCCACCTCCCCCCTCCCCCTTACCCCCACCCCCCACCCCCCACCTCCCCCCGGGAGCAGGCGGCAATGGATGGAGTGGACGAGCGGCTGAGGTGGCAGGCTGCCAAGGTGGCAGCGCTGCGCACACGTGGCAGTCTGCTGCTCACCACGCTATTGGTCGCCAGCACCAGCGTCAACGTCAGCTTCACGCTCTTCGTCTCAGGTGGGACTTTGGTGGGGTCAGGTGGGTTCAGGTGGGCTCAAGGTGGGGCTCAGGTGGGCTCAGGTGGGGTCAGGTGGGGTCAGGTGAGGTCAGGTGGGTTCGAGTGTAGTGCAGTGAAGGGCTTTGACCTCTGCGTGCTGCTCATCCTGCTCTTGTATAGAAAAAAAAAACTATTCTGATGCAGCTGACCCCATTCCACCACTCCCTACCGCAGTCTCCTCCCCCACCTGCCTCAACCCCTCCTCCCTGCTCCATTCTCCTCCTGTTTTTCCTCCCAGGCGTGTTGGGCATGGTGATGGGGTTTGTCCTCTGCGTGCTGCTCATCCTGCTCTTCGCTGAAACCACTCCTCGCATTCATCCCACCCGTTACGCCACTCCCCACTGCTCTCCACCCGCTGCTCCTCCCAGGCGTGTTGGACATGGTGATGGGGTTCATCCTCTGCGTGCTCCTCATCCTGCTCTTCGCTGAAACCACTCTTGCGTGGAATCTCAACCCCATTCCACCACTCCCTACCAACCCCCACCCCACCTCCCCAGGCGTGTTGGGCATGGTCATGGGCTTCATCCTCTGTGTGCTCCTCATCCTGCTCCTCACCGTGTTCCACCACTCTCCACCGCTTTCCACCCCGCTCTCCCAGGCGTGTTGGGCATGCTGATGGGATTCATCCTCTGTGTGCTCCTCATTCTGCTCTTCGTCGAAATCGCTCCCCCGGCCATCTGTGCGCGCCACTCCCTCCGCATCGCCTCCGCCACCGCATGGCTCGCCCGCCTGCTGCTGCTGCTGCTCTCGCCCGTGGCTTACCCCGTCAGCCTGCTGCTGGACCGGTACCTCAACAACCAGGAGGACGAAGAGGAGAGCAGCTTGCGACGTGGGCTCCTGTGCGGGTGAGTGTGCTTTTGTGTGTGGGAAGAGTGGGAGATGGAGAGGGAGAGGGAAAAGGAGAGGGAAAAGGAGAGTCAGCCACACTCCCTCCGTATCGCCTCCGCCACCGCATGGCTCGCCCGCCTGCTGCTGCTGCTGCTGTCGCCGGTGGCATATCCCGTCAGCCTGCTGCTGGACCGATACCTCAACAACCAGGAAGACGAGGAGGAGAGCAGCTTGCGACGCGGGCTGCTGTGTGGGTGAGTGTCCTTGTGTGTGTGGGAGAGTGGGAGGGAGAGGGAAGGGGGGAGGGAGAGGGGATGGGAGCCACTCGCTCCCCCCGCCATCTGTGCGCGCCACTCCCTGCGCATCGCCTCTGCCACAGCGTGGCTCGCCCGTCTGCTGCTGCTGCTACTGCTGCTGCTGCTGCTGCTGTCGCCGGTGGCATATCCCGTCAGCCTGCTGCTGGACCGATACCTCAACAACCAGGAAGACGAGGAGGAGAGCAGCTTGCGACGCGGGCTGCTGTGCGGGTGAGTGTGTGTGCGCGCGTGAGGGGATGGGGTGACAGGTAAACTGGGAGGCTGTGCAAGAGAGTGGGAGAAAGCGAGGCAGGGGAAAGCGGTGCTGGGATAGCCTATTCTCCCCCCTATTCTTTGAGTTGCCGCCACCGCTTGATCTCCCTGCCCCCACTTCTTCCCCCCCCCACAGAGGCTCCAGCTGTGCGGATCCCTACTGCATGAAGCACGGCGGCTCAGCGGGCTCCTCCCCTCGCATCTACATCACCAACCCCCTCGCCAACCCGCCCTCCCTCGAATTCCCCGACACCACCGCCTCTGCCCTCGACACTGGGAGTGCTGCTCCTGCTGCTCCTCCCGCTGCTTCTGCCGGTGCTGCTGCTGCTGCTGGTGGCGCTGCTGCTGGTGCCGCAGCCATAGCCGTCGGCACAGCAGCAGCAGCAGCAGCAGCAGCAGCGGGTGGTGCTGCCGTTGCTGGCGCAGCAGCAGGAGCAGGAGCAGGAGCCCAGCCTACCTCTGCCTCCTTCTCATCCCGAGAAGCAGGGGGGGCTGCGGGGGAAACAGGCGAGCAGACGGAGGAGAGGGATGAAGAGGAAGAAGAGGAGGAGAGTGCGGCGCTGTATTCAGAGGACATGGACTCCAACACCAGAATGCACATGGCTGGATTCGGCGCCATGCCCCCTAGGTCAGTTCCTCCTCCTTGTGAGGCGCCTCATAGCTGTATTCAGAGGACATGGACTCCAACACGCGCATGCACATGGCTGGATTCGGCGCCATGCTGCCCAGGTCAGTTCCTCCCTGCCGCCCAGATCAGTTCCTCCCTGCCGCCCAAGTCACTTCTTCCTGGCTTCCCAAGCCAATACGACTCAAGTCGCTCCAAGCCCATCAGCAGCAGCAACTCTCCCAACACTTCCACTTCTTTTCTTCCTTCCTCTTCAAACCCTTCCCCTCTCCCTCCCCTTCTCTCTCCTCTCCGTTCCAGGTCTGGCCAGTACGACTCGAGTCGCTCCAAGCCTGTCAGCGGCGGCAGCGACTCTCCCCTCACTTAACTCTTCCCCTCCACTTCCCTTTTGCCTTTTTTCTCTCCCCACCCTTCCAGGTCTGGCCAGTACGACTCGAGTCGCTCCAAGCCCGTCAGCGGCGGCAGCGACTCTCCCCTGCGGCGCCGAATCGAGCAGGCAGCTGACCGGGCCGCTGCTGCTGCTGGTGCTGGTCCCTCCACGCCTGCTGGTGCCAGCACTGGTGGGGGGGAGAGCGGGAGGAAAACGGAGAGTGGGGCGATAGGAGAGAGTGGAGCGATCGGAGAGAGCGGGGATGAGGTGGCGATGGCGCTGCCTGTGGGGGAGAGTCAGGAGTATACGAGTGTGGAGGTTGGGGAGGAGGGGGAGGGGTACAGCACTCGGGAGGAGGAGAGTAGTGAGAAGGTGGGGAGGGGAGGGAGAGGAGGGAGTGGGAGAGGAGGGAGAGGAGGGAGTGGGAGAGGAGGGAGAGGAGGGAGTGGGAGAGGAGGGAGTGGGAGAGGAGGGGAGGAGACGGCAGAGGAGTCGGACGAAGTGCCGATGGCACTGCCAACGTCTTCTGATGATGTTGATACGGAGTCAGACGACCAGAGGAGGAACCTCGGACGGGTGAGTTTAAGGTCTTGGACGGGTGAGTTACACTCATGTGGTTTTGAGTCGACTCAACAATGGCAGAGGAGTCGGATGATGTGCCGATGGCACTGCCAACGTCTTCTGATGATGTTGATACTGAGTCAGACGACCAGAGGAGGAACCTCGGACGGGTGAGTTTAAGGACTTGGACGGGTGAGTTACACTCATGTGGTTTTGAGTCGACTCAACAATGGCAGAGGAGTCGGATGATGTGCCGATGGCACTGCCAATGTCTTCTGATGATGTTGATACGGAGTCAGACGACCAGAGGAGGAACGTTGGACGGGTGAGTTACACACGTGTGGTTTTTTAGGCGACTCAAACGACGGCAGGCGGAGGAGTGGGATGAAGTGCCGATGGCGTTGCCAACATTGGATGATGTTGATACGGAGTCAGACGACCAGAGGAGAAAACTTGGACGGATGAGTTACAAGCTGTGGACGGGTGAGTTACAAGCAGTGGACGGGTGAGTTACAGACATGTTTCTGACAAATACAGGTTTTCGGGCGTCTCAAGAAGCAGGAGGATTGAGTTACAGGCAGGCAGTATGACGATATCGGCCGTGTAAAGCAAGTCACTCAGCTAAATGCTTGTGCCATTCTCATTCTCAAGCTCATTCACATCTCATCTCCTCTCCCCTACCTCCCTTAATCCCCTTCCAACAGACTCCGCCGCAGCCCCCCCCTCCACCACCCACTCCCGCCACCCCTGCCGCTGATTCCCCTGCTGGTGCCGCTGCTGCTGGTGTGGTAGCGGGGGCAGCAGTGGGGGCAGCGGCTGGAGCAGCAGCAGCCGCAGCAGCGGGAGGAGGGATGGGGTTGAGAAGCAGACCAGTGATGCACGAGACGATAGTTGAGATTGGGTCTGAAGGGGAAGGAGAGGAGGAGGAGAGTGAGGATGAGAGGAGTGAGGAGGAGGATGTTGTAGAGGCAGAGGCTTATAGCGGGGATAGTGGTGCTGTGCAATCAGGGGCAGCAGGAGGGGTAGCAGCAGGAGCGGCAGGAGCAGCAGGAGCAGCGGCAGCAGGAGGAGCAGCAGTTGGAGGAGCAGCAGGAGCAGCAGTAGGTGGTGCTGGTACCAGTGGTGCTGCTGCTTCCACTTCAGCAGCGTTGACCCCACCACCTGCCATAGCAGCAGGAGCAGCGGAAGGAGCAGGCACAGCAGGAGCAGCAGAAGCAGGAGGAGGAGCGGCAGGGGCGGGAGGGATGAGTGTGGCTGAGGGATTTGCAGCAGCAGCCGCAGCTGTGGGTGCATTTGCGCTCATGCCATTCCGATGGGGGCAGAAGCAGCCGACGCAGCAGGAGGAGGAGAAGCAGCAGCAGGGTGAGAAGAAGGAACCATCACCACCAGCATCCCCATCAGGGCGGATACAAGTGGTTGTGCACGGTACAGGGGGGCCAGGAGGGGTAGGAGGACCCAGCAGCAGCAGCGGTGGCAGCTGGAGAGACAACAGCAAGGATGTTGATAGCAAGGGAGACTCTTTGCCAGGAGGACCCATGGGTCCATCCCCTCTCCCTCCCCCACCTGCTGACCCCCGCCTCTCCGCCTTTCCCCCTACCGCCCCTCCCCCTCCCGCTGGCCCTTCCGCCTCCCCCTCCTTCCCCCTCCGACCCACACCCGCGCCCGCTCCCCCCGCTGCCTTCCCTGCGTCCTCCGAAGCGCCCTCCTTTCCCCTGCGGCCGATTCCTGCTGGTGCGGCTGCTGGTGCCGCTGCTGGTGCTGCTTTAGCCAGTGGCAGCGGCCGTGGGGGTGGGGGAGAAGCGGCGGAAGAGGGGAGGAGCATGGGGTTTGAGAGGGACGAGTCTTGGGCCACGGCACCTGAAGGGGGGAGGAGTGTGAGGTTTGGGAGAGATGAGTCATATGCAACAGCATATGATAGTGAAGGGGGTGGTGGCGGTGAGGAGGAGGGTGATGGAGCCGGTGCTTCTGCTAGCGCTGCTGCTGCTGCAGCAGGGGCAGCAGGGGTGGCAGGAGCGGCAGGAGCAGCAGGAGGGGTAGGTTCGGCAAGTGGTTGGGGATCGCGCCGGCCGCCGCTAGGTCCGGGAGCAGCAGGTTCGGCAGGCACGCCTGCGTCCTTGGCTCGGGGCCGGCCGACCAGTGCTAGCACCACTGCATCCCGGAGCTCTGCTGATTGGTCGAGCCCGGACGAATCAGAGTTTGAGTCGAGAAATACTGACACTTTGTTAAGTGCTGAGAGGAGTGTGACTCCTAGCGGGGATAGGATGATGGGGGTTGCGGATGGAGGGGAGAGAGGGGAGAGAGACATGGGGGCGAATGATGCTTTGACTAGTGCAATCATGGCTTCGTCTATATCAGCTGCGGCTGCTGTTGAGATGGCAAGGCAACGGCAGCAGCAGCAGCGACAGGAGGAGGAGGAGAGGCGGAAGCAGGAGGAGCAGGCAGGAGGTGGTTTGAGACAGCAAGGAGGGAGAAGCAGAGGGGGGGGAAGGGGAGAGGGAGGGGAGTGAGAGAGAGTGGTCGTTTGCATCGAGTGAGGAGGAGGAGGAGGAGGAGGAGGAGGAGGAGGAGGAGGAGGAGGAGGAGGAGGAGGAGGAGGAGGAGGAGGAGGAGGAGGAGGAGGA